GCAATCTGGGGAGCTGGAAGCTGAGAACTGGCGACTTTCTAGCGCAACTTTAGTACGCGGAGCAATCTGGGGAGCTGGAAGCTGAGAACTGGCGACTTCTGTAGTACAACTTTAGTACGCGGAGTATCTGGGGAGCTGGAAGATGAGAGCTGGCGACTTTGTAGTACAACTTTTGTAAAGCAAGCGTCCATAAAAACTGCATACGCCACCAAAGCTCTCAAAAGATCGAAGGTGAAGCGTCGATGCACTAGCCCTTTACAGCACTAGAAGATTACTGCAAAACACCGAAGTGGAACAGCTTGTCCCGGCACACATCCAGTGTCTTCATTGGTGCAAGACTGGATGGGCTGCTTGCACCCCCTGCGTCAAAAGAACAACGGCAGAAAAAAACATTCCAACAGGAACCTTGCGACTCCAAAGGTTACACACACACACACACTCACTCTCCGCCGTATCGGCGCACAGTCTGCGAACACAACCTAAAAAGCCTCTTTTCGCTGTTTCGTTGAACCATTGTGCAGAGGGCTGTTCATCTCTGGGACCACCTTGAAACTTGCTCTGTGTGTGTGGGCACCTTGGAGTCATAGGTCTTCTTCAGGTCTTCTCTTAGCAGGCTGTGTTTATCAAGTCGAGTTGATGTACCTACGTGAAGAGGTGCTGACTTTACTTTCCACTGGGCCCAGTTGTTATTTACTACTGTAGAACAATTCACTGGCCTTTGTACCGGTTGTGAGTTCTGCAGTCACGCTCTCTTCGATCCATCGTCTAGTCTGTTGGAAGATGGACGCGTTACTCAGGTTCCTCTTTTCTGCTAGCTTTCTTCGAGTGGTGGCCCCACGCTTCTCCTACGTACTTTACTGTATCTCATGAGTGTGTCAGCTTGATCATGCATGATCATGGCTACATCCTGCGTCGACAGTATCACACTGCATCTTGTGAATCACATTTTAGTGCGTGGCAAACAAAATCCGTCGGTCTTCTGGCAGAAACGCCAGAGTCAGGATCGACCTTCCGAACAGGACCTGAGCGCACAGCTTGAGTTCATTATGTGGCTGAAACAACTGACTTTCAATAGGACTCGAACTTGCTGAGCCACTTGTCTTCCCTGCAGCTTCCGTAAACTCTGTGTAATCCTTGTCCATAAATTGGTCTTCAGCTCCTTCGATATCTCCAGGCAAATCTGTGAGAGCATGGCTGTAAGTCTTGGAAGCTTGTCAGCCCAAGCCTGACCCTTCTCCTTGCCTCAGCCAGAAGTCACACAACTTTTTGGAGTGGAGCGAAGCTTCATCTTCTTCATTTGGTACTCAAGGCGCTCTCCAAAAATGCCAAGCAAAGGCTGCTACTGTGGCGAATCAACAGGACTATCACTGTAAGGACTTTGAGGACTTGCAGGGCTTCCTGCGCGTGATTTACCGGCAAGAGGAGGCAAGAGGATGCAAGAGGTGCCAATGGAAATGCATCCGTTCTAGGCCTCCAGAGCCAGGACTTTGTGCATCATACCTCGGTGCTGCTGTTTTGCCACTCTTGCCACCACGTATATTTTTAAGCCCGCGGTAGCTGGTAGAAGAGGTAGCTACCTTAATTAAGCTACTACCTAGGACGCAGGATAGCTCACGCACCAATGATTTTGTTCTTGGATATTTAGGGAAACTTAACTATTTTTGCTACTAGGTTTTGTGTTGTTCTTGACTTTCTGTAGTTTTCTGTCGTTTGCGGCCTCATATTACTTTTCTTTTTGGTTCTCTATGGCCGCAGCGGTGGTCCGTATTGGTCAGCGTTCACAGCTGCATAGCCGCTGGCATAACCACTGGCATAGCCCGGACCTTGTCATTGCTGCGGTTTTTTCCAACAAGATGTTGGTCAACCCAGTTTCGCCTGTGTGTCCCTGAGGAGGAGGGGCCTCGGCTAAAGGCCAAAATGATAGAGGTATTCTCAAAATGAAGCTGCTGCATGGCAAGAAAACAAATGACAGAGCTGGCGGTCGCACAAATTGCTGTCCATTTACATTCATCAAAGGAGCCCTGACACAGTTGCCCATTGCGTCAAGTATGCTGCAGGTTCTGTCTGCATCATTTCTGCGCATGGAAGACCATTGACTCTTGCTTGTCCTCCCATCACCTGCCTTGAAACTTCTGAGTACATACAGTATACAATATGGTAGATTTGTCTTTTATACCTTTTACGTGTCCTTTTCTGGAATCGAAATCTTCTGCCCTCGTCGAGAGAATTGCACCCCGGCCTGTTGAAAGATGGTCCCTGCATGGAGCTGGTCGGCTACACAAGCGCCTGAGTGGCAGGATCTTGTTTCATGGCCGTGGTTTGCAGCTTGGCCGAGCTAGTGCAAGGGGCACGTGAGTAAGCTCCACAGGCCGTACACGCAAGTACTACTTATGAATGTGTGTGTGTATATATTTCTATATTTCTATATTTTGTTTATGCCCTAGAGACATGTGTCGGAGTTCAGGACAAGGTCGCAACTTTTTAACAGGGATATATCATATATGTATTTATGCGAATTTTTGCTGTTTCATGTACACTCAGTAATGCTAATTATGCTATGTACAGTGACACTGATCTCTATTGAAAATGTTTCACACTCCTTCTTGGTAGTGTGAGCGACTGAATCGCTACTTTGAGCTCACTCTGCCACTGAAGTCAATTTTCTTCCATTCAGCTCTTTTCTCTGCAGGCTTTCTCTAGCGAACGGGGTTCCCAGAGATTGGTGGTATCTCAGTTTGTGGTGTGTCTGGACAATCTCTCCTCATGACTGCACATTCCAACAACTCTTAGTACTTCTCCAATTGCTGCTTATCCCAACAATTGACTGAAATTCATCAACTCTTGCACAATAAGGCGAAAGTGGCTCTTCCTTCCTAATGGCGCAACATGAATAATGAGTCCAGTCTGGCTGTCAATTGCAACTAGCCAACATACTGCTCTTGCCGACTTTGTTTCTGAACCCCTCGCTCTTGTGTAGCGAAAGTCCAAACTTACCTCAGGGATACTTCCTCTCTTTCCTCCATCTGTTCTCTCACGGCGATCTGGACGCGCTCGATGTTCAACGCGCTCCTTGCAACAGTTGGCATATGGCATGCGCGTTAACCCTGCGCCTTGGCTGAGTGGCTTCATCTGGCATCCTTGCCACACTTTGACCTAATGCTTCTCTTGTTTCTTCAGCTTTTGCTTCACCCACCAAGCTTTTGGCGTTCAACAATTCCATCTTCTTCTTGCGATTGAGGATCTTTGTGTAAACATTTATTAGCCCAAAGCCACTGCCTGAGAAGCCGACAAATGAATGTCAACTCAGTCAACTCTACTCCATTCACCAAGACTTTGTCTACGTCCATTGGGCTCAATTGAAATTCACATTCAAGGTCTTCATCCTTCTTTTCCTCTTCTTCCTGACCTTCTACCTTCTTCTCCGGAAGAGTAGGGGTAATCTCTTCGATTGCCTGCTCCACTTCTTTCTTTCTCTGTTCTCTGTTCTCTAGCTTCTTGTATCCTGGCGCAAAGAATCCCATATCTTCTGGTGGCGCTGGCTCATAGCTGAAGATTGTGATTGAAGGAACAACTGCATCATCATCAAAGAACTGCTCATCAAGTTCCTTCTTTTTCATCAGGCTTTCACACAATATGCAGGCATTTGCCATTAACCTCCTCTTTTCGCCAAAATGGTTCTCGTCAACTCTGGCGATTCTTCCACGTCTGGAATGATTGTGGGACCTGGTTTCTTTTCCAAAGCTTCATGTACTCGCACCTCCAAGCAGCTTGCATCTTCGTCTCGAAAAACTCTAACGCGGCCTTGAACTGTCAAAGAGCGATTTGGCAAGCCGAGTGGTACCTCGAAGTCACCATTCTCCAACATTGCTCTCTGCTGTTGGTTCCCCAACCATGTTCCATCAGCCTTCCATAACAAAGTATGGGCTGGTTCACCTTTGAACTGAAGATCGCATTCTCTTTGAGAAGTACTTCACGTCCATCAAGGTCACGCAAGGGAATTCCAGTGGGGATACGATTCCCCTGCACATCTTGTAGCTTTGTCCATACTCAAAGGACTCTTCCTGAATTTCCCCTCACCAGTGAAGCTTCCAATCCATAAAGCTTGATGCACCTGGCCTTTTCCTCTGTAGTTGCCAAGTCCATGTCAAACTTGTCATTTGGCTTCTCATGAATTTCCTTCAGGTCCTTCATGTAGCCCTCATCAACTGCACTCAAATATCTCTCAAAAACCCATGACCACTCTCTGAGTGCCTGTAATCTTCCTGTGACTTATAGTCAAAGATGTTGGGCTTTGCTATCAGTTTTGACCTATCTGTTGCTGATGACTTCTTGTCTTCAACTGCCTTCTTCACTGCCTCAGATGCTGATGCTGTTGCCAGCGCACTCTGTGCTATAGTTTGAAGGATTTCTCTAATCTCCTCCATCCCCCCTGCGCACTAATGTCTTTCTGACACAACGTACGGGGTACAGAGCGTCGCTTGCAACAATTCTTCACCAGTCCAGCTGTTTGGGTTCCAAAGGCCCCAAATCTATGGCTCGAAACCGCACCCGGGATCCCAGTGACCTAGCGGGTTTTCTTCCAGGAGCTCAAAGAGGGTTACCCTTATCCCTGCTCCGCTACCATGCGAACTTGTTTTTGCTGTAACCAAAAGGGCTGCGGTCAGGTTTCATGTACACTCAGTAATTCTAATTATGCTATGTACAGTGACACTGATCTCTATTGAAAATGCTTCACAATATACAGTCTGTAAATATTCATTGCTCCCAGCCTGCTCACTGCCGGACCAGCCACTACTGATTTCTGAGCCAAATGGGCTTCCACAGGCTTATCGGCCATATATCTTCCATGCGAGAATCTTGACACATGATTGCTGCTACAATTGTCACGGCGAACGTGTATTCTGGAGGTGATGTTGTTGCTGGCAAGGTGGCTAGCATCACTAACAAGCTTTGGTAAAGTCAAGTTGGGATCCTGCAATCATCCTACCAAAGAAACAACTGCTGGAAATGCTACTCTGCTGCGGATAGCCGCCGCTAGCAGAACAAAACAAGGGGGGTCAGTTCAGCCCTACTAATTCTTGTCTGAACCCTTACCGCGCGCGTGTTGAGGAGTTCTCATTTTTTGCTTTGACGATTGCAAATGGTCCAAGCTTGCACACGGCAGTTACATGGTAAGTTTACCTCGCTCGTGCCAAAGCCTCACAATGCAAGCACAAAATGCATGTCTTTGTCTTTGTCTTTAGCCAGCTCCCCCTCCCTACTTAATTAAGTAAGGAGGTAAGCTACTAGACTAAGTTAGCTTCTAGGCAGGACGCAGAATGGCTCACGCTTCTTCAAGGAGCTTAGTTGAAGAAGCGCTCACACTAATGGTGTGGTTCCTAGATTGTTAGGGAAAACTTAAACTATATGTTGATGCTAGCATGCTGATCAAGCCTCCCGTTCGAGAGCCCATTGACCGTCTTCTTGACGGAGCCTCAGCAAAAAACAAAAAACAGAGACATGAGGTCTTCTGTTCTTCTCATTATCCCTTCAAACACAGCCTCTGCAGCGGAGCAATTTCTGAACGTTTCCAGCCTCAGATGGGAAGCAGAAAGTGTCCTCATTCAAGTTTAATGTATACTATATAATACATATATATATATATTGCCAAAGGTACAAAACACAATATGGAAAAGCTGCGATTCAGTCCGTACATTCTTCTGACATTCTTCCCACGCCCGAATTGGCCTCTCCGCCCACCATGCCGAACTTCTTCCTGGACACTCTTCCAATGCTCGTGTTGCTCTCTGTCCACAAGTTCCGCTCGGTGCGGCGGCACTTTGACGTCCAATCAAAGCACCAACAGTCGTCCTGGCTTCGTCGAGCAGGTACCACGCGCCTCAGCAAATATTTTTCCTTTTTTAGCCCGTTGCCCTCACTCAGTAAGTGCCTTCTTGCTGCGTATAAATAAGTAAGGGCTAGCTGCATACTGGACGCAGGATAGCTCACACACTAGTCATTTGGTTCGACTTTCAACTAAAACATTCCTTTTGCAAAAGTTTCTGAGCCGCCACACGGTTCCGATCGGAATTCCAGAACCAGCTCCTTGCTCACCTTGACCTGGAAAGGAGGCAAATCCTACATCAACAGGTAGCGAGCACAAATCATGCATGTAGAAAAGTCTCAACTGACAATTCCATGCGAGGTCGGGCATTGCTTTTGTAGAGCCCTGGGGCCATCAATCGGTACGAAGTTTGGCCAGCATGGAGCATCCACACAATGTTTCGAGCGCATCAGTTGCCAACTCGTCAAGTTTGGAAAATTTGCCGGCGCTCGTCTGATGGGCAGCTTGCGCAAATTTCAGGGTTCACTGTGAGACCAAACCTGACAATTATCAGGAGGGCTAGCGGCTAGCGGCTAGCAAACAAGGTTGATACAAAACATGTTATAAACAGTTAAGGAAGAAATCCTGCTCCATCTGGAACCGCAACAGGACACGTGCCCTATTTGTGCAGAGTTTTTTCCTTCCAGAGTAGCTCTGCGTTTTGCAATCGTCATAGTTTCATTGAGCTAGCCCTTGTCAAATAGATTTTTGATGGGAGGAGTTTTCAAAATTGTTGTGGTGAGTCGTAGTGGAAACATAAATGGCCAAACCGCTTCGCCTCAATGATTGGCTTGCCCGGATGGTTTTGGGATGATCCTGTGCCATCCGGCCTTGGATGCAGCAGGCCGACTGCCTCCTGGCAGCACACGATACTTTGGACCTTCAGGGATTGTACAGTATCGTGCAAGGTGCAGTACACACGATTCCTGGACTATTCAGGTCTTCAGTGTTCCAATCCAACCTTCAGCAAGTTGTACAAGTGTCCCTTGCGGCCTGCTTGTCTGAGTACTTCTGGTTCATCTTTTGAATCTTGCGCTGCCTGCAACCAACCACAAATCAAGCAACTCCAGTCAGACTCTAGTTTGCAAAAAATTGGTGTGCCTGCAATTCTGTGTCTATGGTTTCCACCTCTGCTGGGTATCCAGAGGGCCTACAGCACTTCAATTTCACCCACTTTGGGGTTCAACTGTTTTTGGACTCCAGACAGCTTTTGGCTGCTTTCTAGCGGCTGACGTGACTCAGGGACGGCCCGCTGCCGCACATCGGTGGAAAGCCTTGCTCCTTTGCATTCTCAAACTTTGTGAGTGCAGGCCCAACAATCTTGCTGCATAGCCTGGAGCGCCTATGGGCAAGAAGTTCGTCCAAGAAGTGTGAGATTTGAACCTGCAAGGCATGCTCGGTGATGGTCTGGCATCAGAAATCATCAGGCTTAAAGTTACAACAGAACAAAAATCCGTCAGGCAAACGTAGGCACCTGGATGCTTGAGGTGCCAACCCGCCTACATATCCATTTCAAGTCTGGACATCCAGCTGAATTTGAAATGTGTGCACCTCCTCTGCAAGCACCAAATACACGGGTCCTGCTGCTTGACAATACTCATTTTACAAAACAGCCTTTTGGGAACATGAATTACCATTCCAGGTTCCATGACTTCCGAAAGCCGGCACCATGGTTCCTCCCAAAAATCAACACCCCGCACGCCCTCATGAAGGAAGATCTTCAAAAAAATGCACTGCATGAGCAGCCAACACCCCATGCTTTAAGGACAACCCCGTGTTTGAGGTTGAGGACCAAAATGTTGAAAACCAGTTTGCCCCAACCAGCGGCAAGCGTATCCCAATGTCAGACGATGCGCTGGTTTGAAGAAAAACATTATCCAGGCAAGAGACCTCAAACGGTGATCAGAAGAGCACAATGATCAGCAAAAAAAATATTGTTGTCGCAGCGGCTGTGCTGCTGGTAAAGTGGTAGCGGTGGTCGCAGCTGGTAGCCGTAATGCTTGTGATGGTAGCAGTAATGGTAGTGGGAGTTGTCGTGGTAGTGGTCGTCGTGGTAACACTGTAGAAGAAGAAGAAGAAGAAGTAGTAGTAGTAGTAGCAGCAGCAGCAGCAGGAGTACCAGCATAAGTAGCAGCGGTAGCAGTAGTAGTAAGAAGAAGACCAGTGGCAGCAGTAAGAAGAGGAGAAGAAGAAGTAGTAGTAGTAGTAGCAGTAGTAGCAGAAGTGGTGGCAGCAGCAGCAGAAGGAGTAGGAGTAGGGGGGCTAGGAGTAGTAGTAGTAGTAGTAGTAGTGGTAGTGGTAGTTAGTAGTAGCGGTAGCTAGTGGTAAGAAGTAGTAGTAGTAGTAGTAGTAGTCGTCGTCGTCGTAGTAGTAGTAGTAATGGTAGTCGTAGTAGTGGTAGTGGAAGTAGTGGTAGTAGTGGTAGTAGTAGTCGTTAGTAGTTAGTAGTAAGTAGTAAGTAGTAAGTAGTAAGTAGGTAGTAGTAGTAGTAGTAGTTGTTGTTGTAGTAGTTGTTGTTGTTGTAGTAGTGGTAGTTGTTGTAGTAGTAGTATAGTAGTAGTCGTAGTGGTAGTAGTAGTCGTCGTCGTCGTAGTAGTAGTAGTGGTAGTAGTAGTCGTCGTCGTCCACCACGTCGTCGTCGTCCACCACGTCGTCGTTGTCGTCATCGTCGTGGCGGTGGTGGTAGTAGTAGTAGTATAGTAGTAGTAGTAGTAGTAGTAGTAGTAGTAGTAGTGGTAGTAGTGGTAGTAGTAGTAGTAGTAATTAGTAAGTAATAACTAGTAAGTAGTAAGTAGTTCGTAGTTAGTAGCTAGTCGTTCGTAGTTCGTGGTTCGTGGTTCGTGGTTCGTCGTTAGTCGTTAGTACTTAGTAGTCAGTAGTCAGTAGTCAGTAGTAGTAGTAGTAGTAGAAGTAGTAGTAGTAGTACTAGTAGTAGTAGTTGTTGTTGTTGTTGTTTTGGTAGTAGTAGTTGTTGTTGTAGTTGTAGTTGTGGTAGTAGTAGTAGTAGTCGTCGTAGTGGTAGTAGTAGTAGTAGTGGTAGTGGTAGTGGTAGTAGTTGTTGTAGTAGTAGTAGTCGTAGTAGTAGTCGTAGTAGTAGTCGTAGTAGTGGTAGTGGTAGTAGTAGTAGCAGTTAGCAGTTAGTAGTAGGTAGTAGGTAGTAGGTAGTGGTAGTGGTGGTGGTAGTCGTAGTGGTAGTGGTAGTGGTGGTGGTGGTGGTGGTAGTGGTAGTGGTAGTGGTAGTGGTAGTGGTAGTGGTAGTGGTAGT